GAGGATGGAAGTTGAGGCCACTTGAAAAATCTTTGAACTAGACAGTAATCTGTCAGTCACACTGAACTCAGCCTTAGTCCTGTCAGAATCTCAGGAGCAGGGCCATTGATTCCAGTTTTGTTTCAAAAGTTTGCATCTGATAGCCCCCTTCACCTGCAATTAAAACAAACACTATTAAATAAAATTAAAAAAAAGTTGGGTCGCAATATAACAAAACTGCCAATCAATTGCTTCACCCCACCCAGCTCTGTTTGCCATTCCTGACAGTTTGCACTCTTCAGATTTGGAGGAGAAGGAAATTGTGGGGCCTTTTTATTTTTAACAGAAGTAGTGCTTGGTTCCCATGGCTGGGTAAGAGTGCACTCCAGTTTCTTTCTATTGCTTGGATAAAACACTAGCCAATATCAAACTGGGAAGGAAAGGGTCTGTTTCAGCTTACAGGTAAGAGTCCATCATCAAGAGAAGGCAGGACAGATACTCAAGGCAGGAAGTGAATCAGAGCTTGGAGGACCAGTGCTCACTGGCTTTTCTTGGTGGCTTGCTTGGCTGGCTTTCTGATGCAATTGAGGATCACTGTTGGGAGTGCCACACCTACAGTGGGCCGGGACAGTCAAGAAAATGTCCCTCACAGATTTGCCTATAGGTCAACCTGATGAAGACAATTCCACAATTGACATCCCCACCTCCCAGACGATTCTAGTTTGTATCAAGTTGTCAGAAAAAACATAGCTTGCATAGCGCATGGACAAGATGGCTATGATAATGAGAATGATATAATTTACACGTCCAAGTCAGAGAAGATTATATCCCAGAACTGTTCCGTACATGTTTGTCACTCAGGTGCCCGAGGAAACACTGAAAGGCAGGATGCCAGCTCTCCCTCTTGAGCTTGCAATATCTGTCTTGGCTCTTCAGCATGTATAGCTATTTGTTTACTGTTTATCCATAGTGTATTCAAAAAGGAACACAATAAAGTTTCCAAAGGAAGCTGCTTTATTTGACCTGAATATCACATCTCATTGAGGGTTATCTCTGGACGTGATAGAAGCTTGATAAAGGCTTGTTTTATGTGAAGAAGTAAAGTCCCCATACTTGTCTCCCGCTACCCCCAGGTGACTTCGTTGACAACACATCTCCCTCATTTTTTAAAAAGTCATCCGTGTGCTCATGGGGCTCCATTTTAGTCTCCAAAGCTTTGGCATCGACTCCTTTGTCTGTTAGGTGAACATAGCCACACGTGGACATAGATATACACTTATGATGTCATATGAAAAACTTAATAAAGCATAGATTCATGTAGCAGGTGGTGGTGGTGGCTCATGCCTTTAATTCTAGCACTTGGGAGGCAGGGGCAGGCAGATCTCTGTGAGTTCAAGGCCAGTCTGGTCTATAGGGTGAGTTCCAGGACAGACTCCAAAGCTACACAGGGAAACCCTGTCTCGGAAATACAGCAACAACAAAAAACAATAACATGTAATAAAATAAATCCTTGCAAAAAGGATATTTGTAGAACATTTCCTAATGTAGAAGTATTCTCCTAAATTTATTTTCCAAAATGTTTTGCCAATTTTCTCATTTGTATGCAAGCTTAATTTTCTTAAAATATTTGCTGTGTTTGGCTCAGCAACAACAACAAAACAACCCTAAAACACAACAAAACAAACAAACAAACAAAAACCATTTGACTAAAGGGTAAATTTCCTGGTCCAGTGCCTCTCACATATCTATTAGAACTTAGATTTATCTGTGGGAAGTGAAATTTGTGTGATAATTATTAAACTTATGGGACAGTTCCACTTTTTTTTTCAACTTTGAGAAGATTCTAAAGATACATATATATATATATATATTACAGTATCATTACTCTCATTTTTGAAGGTCTCTCATTCCAAATTTAACCTTCTTTAAACTTAATCTGAAATGCCAAAAATTCTTCATAAGCTTTAACCAAGCGAGCATCTGGAGACTGCTTCGTATTTAGTTGGCCCGTGTTTGCACCTTCCAGAGGAAACCATCAAGTCACCGCTGTCACTTCAACATGCAAGCAGTTTTCCTTTGCAGATCTGGGGCCTACTGAAAAACAGCCTGTGGGAGGCACCGCTTGTGTCACTTGACGGTGCTGTCTTGTCATAAAACACTTACACTAATTTAGCATCGGGTTAGTCATCTGTGTGTTAATTTTTCGCATATTGAAAGGGGTGACTAATGAAGGGAGCATCTCAACTTGTAGATAGAATTCAACTTCCCGTTTAGAAAGACCCTGAGAAGGCCTATCCACTTCTCCATGGCTCTGCCGGGATTAGTGTATGTAACACATAGAGACATACAACAGGACCTGTACGATTTGTTGGTAGGGATAAAATACATAATATACATATGCCTTGAGTTATATTATTCTCTTCACCTCTTTTCCCCCTTTTAATTCCATATGCTATCATTTTTTTATTCTAAAGGCAGTATAGGACCTAAGAAAGCAGCATTAAGACAATGTGAAATGATCCTCATTTTATTTGATGTTTTCTGTATAGAATAGTTGAGAGCATTGTGTCAGCTTCCCGTAGATTCATTATACTGATGAGTTCTGCTAAGAAATACTTCCAAACTCTTGATTAAAATTGTATTTCTGGGGCTCTGAGATGACTCAGCGGATAAAGGTGCTTGTGGCAATTCTAGTGCCCTGAGCTCAGTGCCCACCTCACACACAGTGGAAGGAGGGACTCAACACCAACAAGTTGTCCTCTGACTGCCCCTCGAGTGCTATGGCACATGCTTGCCCATCTATGCACATTCACACGAAAGTTATTCAATGTAAAGTAACAATAATAATGGCAATAAAAGAGTGTATTATCTCTATGTAATATATATGCATACATATACACACTGCATATATTATATAATATAGCCATTTCTGTCCTTTTATTATGTAAATTAAAATTTGATGGTAAAATTTATTAACAAAGTTTTGCCAAGAAAAATATATTTGTTAAATATAGTTTTGGCTCTCGATAAAACTGAGAGACCTTGGACCCGATCGGCATGAAATGGCAGCGCAGGGGTGGGGTTGGTTTGGCGAACAGAAAGCTGGCGTAGGGCTGGATTCCTGGCATTGCTTCCTCAGCAAAGAGAACAATTTTAATCAGCTACAAAAATATTTGCGATCCATATGCTCCTCTCTGCTCACTCCCATCTGCCCATATTCCCTTTTATCTTGGGAGATGATGGCTTCATGATTCAGCCGTGTAAGAATAATACCTCGCTGACTTTCGAGTTCAGTTCTATTTCAAAACACGTCCTGGAAATTACGCACACACAGAGACCCAGGCTGCTAGCTCTCGGGTAGTTACGTGAGTATGACTTTGTTCCGTCTTCTTGGGAAAGATGATATCTTACATCCTCCTACTGGAGCCAGGACGGGTATCTGAGGCTTGGCTTTGAAGTGCCATTGTCATCTGCCTGCTGCATTCAGTACCCCTGTACAACTGCGAGGGGCAGGGAAAGGAGCAAAGGCTGGGAATAATTCACAGTGATTTCATTCGCTTTGGGAAGAGGAAAGCAATACACACATAAAAAGCACTTGGTCACTTTATCTAACAGGAGTGTTTGTTCTAGATAATGGGTTTGCAAGCGAATTGACCATTTCTTAGTTTTTTATTAAATTACAATTGGGCATCTGTCATAGTAGCTATGGTACAAGAAGTCAGAATAGAAAAATTTTAAAAAAATGAATCTCAATTAGTGATTTATTTTGTGGGGGATGTGTGTTTGCTTATCCCAATAGCTATATGGTTTCTAACAAAAGGTGTACATTTTTAAACCCAATTATCCATTGGTAGAAAAGATGTATAAATCAGAAATTATTGATGGGATGCTTAGTAGTATTTTCAACAGTTGTTCCCCGCTGCACAACAAATGGCTTTGTAACCCAATATGCTATTAACAGCACCATTGCCAAACCTGAAAGGAACCAGCCAGGCTCATCTAAGCTAGTGGGGAGGAGATGGCAAGAAGAAAGGGTTTCTAGCCTTTGGTGCAGTAGCTGGCTGCAGCTTGTGTTTTCACAGGCCTTAGGACCCAAGGGGCGTGTCTGCTGCTGGAGTCAGCGGGTGTACCCCGCCCCACAGGAGGCTGAGAGTTTGGGCTGTGGTTTGCTTTTTGGCAAAGGCCATCAGGAGCCCCCTACTCGCTGTTTGTATTCAAGCTGTCTGCGCGGCTGCTCCTGTAGGAGTTGCGCGAAAAGAAAGTGTACGTTAGAGCGTGGATTTGTTCACCAGGGGCTTGGAGTGTGCCAATCCGCGGCTTGCTGCGACAGCGATTCTTTGCTGTCACAGGCAAGGCTCAGCTGGCAGAGCGGTCCTGGTGGGGAGGGAAGGGAGGAAGTGGAGAGGTTGTTCACCATGAAGCCTGGATGTTAGGGATGCTTTGCAACTGTCAGCGCGAATGGAAGGCGCTCTCTCAGCTGTGCCAGCGCAAAAGTTCTCGCTTTGAAACTTTAGAGACAAGGCCTCGTTAAAACAAAGCCTGAACACACTGCGTGAAGTTACCTCTCGCAGAGGGACTCGCGGAATTAAAGCATGCCCCATCCACCTATAACTTAGACGAAGGTTTCCATTTAGAAACAAAAAGGACAAACCTTTAGCATGTAGATGACTTTGATTCTCATTCAGGCAAACACACAAACTTGTTTTTTTTTTTTTTTTAAATGCAAAGTGCGAGATTTCACTAAAAAAGGTTAAAATTGAAGTGAGTAATCTTCGGTGCATAATTCAGTTGTTAATTTTAGCTCCTTGCGTGGGTGCCGCTCTGACTTGAACAGCCGGCTGTAGCCTTCATTGGAGAAGAAGCCGGCAGCTTGGGCCAGGTGGAGCTGGAGCAAGCTGGGAGAGGGATTTGCTGGAAGCCGGTCATTAGTGTTAGAAACCCAGTCTTACTTATTGCGTGCCTCTCCCGCCTGCCGCCTGCCCGGCTGTTGCCAGGATGACTGACTCTTGCTCCTTTTTCAGGTTGTCGGCCATGTGTCAGACTGTGTAAGGGAACTGCCCGGAGATGCACATTCTGGATTGCTGATGGGGACATGGGACGGCAGTTACCTCTGATCACTTGTGTGGATTCTCCCGGGGCAGAACGACAGAAGCCGGCCGGCCGTCATTCGTCCAGATCTCCCGCTGGAATTCCGTGTGAAAGGTAAAGGTAAAGCAGCGGTGGGGGCTCCTGTTGCATAGAGCCGTTCACCACATGCCACCTCAGAGTGGGGACCCGTTTTTCCGGGGAGCCCCTGGGCTTGGAGTTTTGAAAATCAGAGCGCTGTTTGCTCACTCTTTAATTTTTTTTTTTAACTGAAGCACTCCAAAAATTGATTTGGGGCAACAGAAGTTCTTTGTCTTCTGTTCAGAGAAAGCGAGCTGTTCACCAATGGGAAAATGAAACTTTTATTTTGTTAAGCACACATGCTGGGTGCGGCTGAGATGGAGGAAATTTGCCCAAAGGTGGCAGATCCTAAAACTTCTCCAGACTTAAAATCAGCAAGCTAACCAGCTCAAAACTCTGCCTCCTTTATAGAAACTTTTCCTTCTGCAATCCCACAATCCTCTGCCAAATAGGTCCATGTGCTTGAAATGTTTTGTTACATGCCATCTGCTCTGTCAGGGTGGGTTTTAGCAAATTAGCAATTGAATTTGCCATGGTCTTCATTTGTCTCCTGCTTCCAGCAGAAAATAAAGTTACCAAATGCTAATACAACCACACTCACAGAGCTATGGGAGCATAAGCTGTTCTATGCCAGTTACCTCTGGACCCCACAGTTACCTCTGGACTGGACTGGGGAAGTCTGTGAAACACAGGACTTTCTAAGCGGCGGCTGCCCAAATCCTGCCCCCTCTCCTCCCTTCTTCCCTTCCTTTTCTCCCTCTCACTTTTTCCTTTCTTTCCTTGTCCCTTTTGCCTCCCTTCATTTTTTCATACTTTAAGAAGTGAAAAGGAAGTGAATAAGCAAATTTGTGAGCAGGTCAGAGGGAGAGATGTGCCAGAGATTTTTAGGGTAGGCGGGGGGGGGGGGGGGGATACAATAATGGAATTAAAGTCTAAAAAGCCACTTCCTGTGTATAGAGCAGTGCTCTGGGAGGGCAGAGTGGCAGAGGGTGACAGCCATAGTCCTTAGTCCCCCTGCCTTTGCAGGGGGCTCCTCCGGAGCTTGTAGTGAAAAAACCTGGCAGGGTCCTAAGGAGAGGTGGTTGCTGCTGTTTTTGTCGGTTGTTAATTTGAAGTCTGAGTGAGCTGACCCTGGAAGGTTCATGGTCAAAAGCAGATCCCAGGTGTACAGGAAATCATAACCTTTCCATCTGAGTTTTGTTCCCTTATTTGTCCAGAAGACAGTGTTCCTTGTTCCTAGGGGGTGTTTCCATGGTTGAAAACTTATAAATGACTTTCTGAATCATATCTGAGGTACCACCTTCACCAGTAGGACCTCTTGACTCAGAAGTTAGAGGTCACTTGTTGACGCACGGGGGGACTATCCCCATTTCCTTCTTTCCCTCTGTAGCAGAATGTGGGGACTAAGAGTTGGGTGGGAGCCACGTGTCTCAGCTAAGATTAGTTGCTTCCCTTTCACAGAAGGTGCCTGCATATGCACCGGTGTGTGCATAAAGGGGCTAAGGCTGAGCTGACGTAACTGCCTCCGGTGTGTACATTTGCTGCTTGATGTTGCCTTGCTCGATCCTCCTGAGCTTGGCAAGTTGGCAGGGATGCTGGCCTGCACCTCTGCCTGTGAATTCGCAGGGGGACGCAAGAGAGCTCAAGAATAATTGGCAAGGCTTCCTTTGCAAACTGATACTGTTTTCTGACACCGTCTAACCTTTTAGGACCTAAAACCTCGTTGTTTTAACTTGCATCTGGGAGAATGTCTGAGCAAGGAGAACTGAACCCAACCATAGTGGAGGAAGGGCGGACTGAGCCAGAGTCTGCCCCGGAAAATGGCATCCTCAAATCGGAAAGTCTGGATGAGGAAGAGAAGCTGGAACTTCAGGTGAGCCAGGGGGGCTTGTCCTCAGCTTTTCACCTCTAGGAAGCATCTAAAACTGCTTTAGGAATTTAGTAGACCAGGATTCAGGAGATCAATGGGCAAATCCTCATCCAATTGTGTTTGCTTGTTTGTTTTGTTGTTTTTAAATGAAGCCACAAGATGCATTTAGAAATGAAAACTAAAATTCAAAGGAACATATTTAATTACTGAATCTGCATACAGGAGCCCACTACCCCTCACTAGACTACCTCAAGCTGTGTGTGTAATGCTCTTTAGATTCCCTGCCTCATGGAAAGACAGAGACATAGCTCATAGCTGAGAAATGTCAAAGTCGTGTATTCTATTCACCACAGACATGTTTAGGTTTGGATCTTATCAGACCAGTCTAACCTCGAGAGTCCCCAGCTGAAGAGTCAGGACACTAGAAGGGACTGGGGGGAGGAGTGGGTGCTTTCAGCAGCTGGAAGAAGCAGGGGAGAAGCAGGATTAAACAGGAAGTGAATTACAAAGAGAAAGCGCTGGTTCGGGGAAGGTCAACTGAGCTTGTAAATGGTACAGATTTTCTTTTAACTGATTTACCAATGTGTTAGCATTTTCCATGAGCCAATCTCCTCAAAGGTCAATGATCACATAACGATCCATCAGCCAGACTGTCTTCTCTTCTCTCCAGTGTTTGCTCTGAGGAGAAAGAACTATAAATGACGATGTCAAAATTTGGGACTTTGGCCAGGAGGGTGTCCTTCCTGGTGGTGGTCAGAATACCTTTGCCTCCACTGAGGAGAGCTCCATTATTGACTGTTTGCTTTCTTCTGTTTCTACCATGCAGCGGCGACTGGCGGCTCAGAACCAAGAGAGAAGAAAATCCAAGGTAGGGATCTTCAGCTTCCCAAGAGAGTCACTACCAGTTCCAGTAAATCACACATTTCCCATCCAAGCCGCAGGTGTGCCCCACAGCCAGGCTGCGGTGGGTCCTGGCTGTTGGTTACAACGTGGTTGTGACCCTCAACCTTTTTTTCTGATACAAGTGCTTCTTGTTTACGACCTGAACTCCCGTAGCATTCTAATAATTTCTAATTTTTTGTTTGTTTTTGTTTTTCTTTTGTATTTTTAACACTGAAGGCTGCAGTGCTGCTTTACACAGGAGTTTTTGTTTGTTTGTTTGAAGGTAAATTTAGAGTGGACATTTCAATCTTCTAAGTGATTTCTACCTAGAAGTAACTGGAGAGTGTCTCAGTGCTTGGAGCACCTCCTTAGCAGAACTTTCTAATTTAATTTTAATGGAAATTCATTGTGGAGTGTTTCTTCTGATATTTTCACAAAATGATAGCCATTCACCCATCACACACATGGGTCAAGAGAGTGAAAAATTGTTGCATAAGTTTGTCTTCCCTCTTTGGCAAGGGCTTTCGGATTCTCTCTTGGCCCGTTGCACACAGAATCACGCAGCACTTTAGATCCTGCTCTGAGAAACCTGATTTGGAAATATTTGTTCCACTGTGGTACCCATCCTTTGACAGTCTGAGAATGTTTTCTGTTTTTTACCTGCCTTCCTCAATCCCCAGTCAGGAGCAGGCAAAGGGAAGCTCACCAGAAGCCTGGCTGTCTGCGAAGAGTCTTCTGCTAGACCTGGAGGGGACAGTCATCAAGATCAGGTATAAAGTCTGCTTTGAGAAGGACTTGCATGACTCGATCTCTGTGTGAATGGCCAATTGCTCATTTGACACTAAACCATGTTTTAGGGAAGAGAATAGGAATTGGAGAAAGCATTTCCTTGCTTCATCCCATAGTTAGAAGTTTGGAGCTGGGTCCATAACCTAGCAAGTAAACTGCTTGTCCCATAAGGATGTGAGCCTAAGTTCAACCCCCAGAATGCACTTAAAAAGCTGGCCATGGTTTGTTCTCTCAGTACGATGGAAGTCGAGTCAGGCAGATTGGTTCCTGGGGTTCAAGGGCCAGCCAGCCTAGGGTCTAGTCAGTGAACCCCAGGTCTCAAACAAAGAAAAAGAAAGTGGTAGATGGCACCAGAGGAGACGAGGTCGTCCTCCAAATCCACGTGTACATGTACCCATACACCCCGTGTGCCTCCCACAAATATGCAAATATACCCCCACCCACATTCACACCCATCCGCCCCCATACACAACTAGTTTAAATGTGTAACAGAGGATATTGCATTTGTTTTTTTTTTTTCCAGACTCTCTGAAAACTGCAAATGGAAAGAAACTCAAAAGAATTTAGGTTAAAACTTAACTAAAAAAAAAAAAAAAGATATAAGTGGGCACAATAGTACTGGAAGTCCACCAAGGCTCTCTCTTGATAAGGCTGAACCAAATATACCCCCAAGCACCCTGTCTTTAGGGAAACAACTTACCTCTCAGCTGCCCAAATGAACCTGCCTACAAAAACAAGCAAACAAACAAAAAATCCCACACAACTGTTGGCTCCTATGAGACTTAAGAAACAGTGGCTAAGGTGCCCTAGGTGTTGGAGAAATACCCTTATGGCCTTTTGAGAGAGTTTTTTAAATTTTATTTTTGGATGAATACTGCAAAATGTTCCAGAAAAGCATCTGAGCTGGTGGTGAATTTGATACTAATTAGTCTCTGTGTCATCCTTACCTTTGCTCCTTTCTGCAAGATGAGTTGGCGCCCAAAACTTAAAAGTCCAGGAAAACTCTTCGTGAGCAAATGGAGCCCTTCATAGCTTGCTTTTTTTTTTTTTTTTTTTTTTTTTTTGCCTTTTAGCCATTATGTTTACTTCTGAAAAACACAGTCTTGATGCAGAATATTTTTCTTATTTTATCAGAGGCAAAGGCAGTCAAGACAAAAGTCAGATGATCTGCCTAAGAGCCCAAGGGAGGAAAAATTGATTACAAAATCATTAGCTTTTGTTTGGGTTTGTTTGGCTTCTCTTTCATCCCCTCCTCCCTTCTCACTTTAATTGAAATCCTCTGCATTCTCTTTACTGACACAGAGAACATGGAGAGCACCTTCTTTTAAAGAACCAAAAAACAAATTCCTTATAGATTTTGTCCTAAGAGTGTTTTCTTTTCTAGTCTCATTTTCTTAACATGCCACTCATGTGGAGAGGCACAAGCAAGCTGTCATTCAGTAGCCATTATTGTGTTTCGTATATAGCCTTTTTTTTTTCTTTTAAATTTGGGCTCTGAGAAACATGTGGCTTTTCTTCAGCATTTTCTGTGTGCTTCTATTATTAATGGCGGTGGAAAAGGTGGAATGTTATGAATATCATGCCTTGTACTATCGATGTGGATTGATGGCTTCTAGTGTACGGCATATGGTTTGCGTGAAACCCTGTAGACTCTGGGAGAAGTAATGGCCCAGTTATCCCTCACTTCTAACGCCAGGCAAAGGAGGCCAGCCTCTGTAGACATCATCTGTTCTTTGTCTCCTTTAACAAGGAACAGGAGGAGTTTTGGTAGGGGTCACCTGCATCATAGCACCCATTCCAGAGGCAGATCTAGGTACTTCCACACAGCGAGTGCAAACGGTGCTTTGTTCCTGCTGGTTCTGAACCCAGAAAACAGGACTAGTGTAGAAGGAGGGAGCTAGGGTCCTCGAGCTTTCTGTTGGCTAGCCAAAGAGTGGCGGAGATATGGGGTTGGTAGAAAACAAACAGACACATATATAAGCAAGTGGTCCCTTCTTGGAGTTTATATATATTGCCTTCAGTAGATACCACTGGACTCTTAGAAAATGTGCGGACTGACTCCCACAGAAGTATACAGTACATGGAATGTATCGCTTCCCCCATGTTTGTATATTCACAGTATTTGGAAAACTGCCTTCATTTTCTCGTGTGGGGAAAACTCTCGTTCCCTGTATTACTTGATCTCAGCCCCACACCTGATGGATGGTTCAGTCTGTCTTTGAGTTAAAGGAAGCGTGCTTTTCCAATGTTATATTATTTACTGACCAGTGTGTTTCTGCAACTTGAATCATTCTTTTACTGTTGTTGGGTATAAACTTATCCTGTACCAATGTATTTATTAACACTTGTATTTTAATATTGAGCATATCAATAAAAATATTAAAAAATAACAGATTGTTTTTTACCAACTCTACAGCACTTTTTGTGTGTTCTTTCTACACCATACTGTATATTTATGTGTAGAAAATATATTTTTTTAATCCTGAGTGTAGCAATTGTCAACACAAAGCACCGATTTGTGCCCTTTTTCTACAGTGGATGTCTTTGGCCTCTGTTTTTATGTGTGGAATATATTGCCAACATGGTGAGTTTTAGCTTCCAACTTAGAGATGGATGAATGGTTCCAAGAGTTCTGAAGAAGGAGTCTCTCCTGACTCACGTGTTCACAGCTTGTCCCCGAGTCTACTGATGGACTGACTCTTCCCATCCCCTCCTGAGACACATCTCAGCAGGCAATGTTACAGGGATTTCCTGAAAGAGTAAAAGTAAAATCAAGACCCTAGGTCCTACTTGAACCCTCCTGGATTGCCACAATTCTGTCCCTCATCATGCAAAGAACGACTATGGTAGAACCTCACTCTGATTTGCATATCCTGCATATATCCACCCACAGAATAAACTTCTGGGAGTCAGAAGTCCCAGCTTAGTTAAAAATGCATGGCGGTGGCGTGTTTTATCTCACCTTCTGTATTGTGGGGGTTAGAGATCTTTTTGTTTCTGTTTTTTCCTCTTGCCACCATGGTGACTTCCCTCAAGCTATCATTTCCAATGGGGTCCCTCACAAAGCTTACAGCTCGCTGTGAGGAATGCTACTATGTGCTTATTCAGTTAGCCAGATTTGACCAGTGCCACTCTGAATCCCAAGCTGGGCACTGTTAAAGGCCAGTGTCACAGGTGTTGCAGGCCAGTGTTGCAGAAAGTGTTCTGTGAGAAACATTCTTCCTCACTGGGAACATTGCCCACCCCTGCCCACATAACGAAGCAGTGCCCCTGGGCAGATTTCTCACATATACATAGCCTGGCCTCATCCTCCCCAGTTCATCATAACTCCTGTCGCAAACGCTTTCCAGGAACTCAAAGCCCAACCAAACATCATTTGGAGCATTCTGCTTCAAAGAAGCAAATGTGCTTTCAAAGTAATGGCTACTTCGTGTCAATCAACACAAACGGAACTGTTCCCAGAAAAAATAAATAAATAAATAAATAAATAAATAATAAAGTAAGCGACTACAATAGTAGATGCAGCTCAACACTGCATCCGTACTTAGCAGCTGATTATGAGGATCTGTCTGGGAAAAAATTAACAGTAACTAAGTTGACCCAAACGTAGATTTATAGAGAACTTATGAAAACAAAGCAGGACTCACTCCATTTTCTAAAAGGCAATGCTTTCCGTGACTCTGAATTATAACAAAGTATGAATGACATTAGTAAGCAATGCCCATGACATCAGACCTGGGATGCTCACAGCATCAGAGTTGGGTTTTCCATAGCACGTGCACCCTCCTTGACCTGGCTCCACGACAGGCTTTCTCCTGTAAGCTGGCTGTTGAGTGCATTCTTTCCCTCGATTCTAACTGTGATTATGACTACTAGAACCTGTCTGTCTCTGTGCACATTTCTCCTTATAAGGAACTCTGGAAGGGAATTGGAGAAGCCTTTTTTAGAGATGACAGTGGTTTCAATATGAGCAGATAAAGGAATGTTTCCCCCTACATGTTTAAAATTAAACTTGTAGAGAAAATAAGAGTTGTGTTCTACAGAAGTTTAGTTTGATTAAAGTTAATATTCATGAGGCAAAGTTGAGCACTAGATGTGTCTTCTAACCTCCCACTGACTCCTGGATTTTAGTTCACCTTAAAGAGCAAGTGTTCTTTGACTCTGACAGGCTCAATTGTTGTTAACCACTTAAGAAACGGGAATCCATACCTGGCTCTCATTTTTCAATGCCTACTAACCTCTGTGCAAAATGGAATCCAAGCAGAGGCGGTTACGTCTGGCCCTAAATTATTATATTTTTCCCCCACAGGAATCCATTCATTTACAGCTTTCCAGTTTCCCCAGCCTGCAAGAGGAGGATAAATCTAGGAAGGATGATTCTGAGAAAGAAAAAGAAAAGGATAAAAACAGAGATAAACCCTCTGAGAAATCCAAGATCAGAATGTTATCAAAAGGTGAACTTGAACATCATTTCATTACCTTGCTTAATTGGGGCACAAGTACAGCTGGAAGACATTGCAAACTGAACACGTCTTTCCACCCCCGGGGCATTCTGCACCTATTTTCCCGAATGGTCCTGTATGTGTAAAAGAAAAGAAAAGAAAAAGGGAAAAAAGAACCTCATTGTTTTTTGGGTTTTTTGTCCCTGCTCCCTTATTTGTGTAGCTAGAGATGTTATTTTTAGCATCACTTCTTTCTTTGAATTCACTTTTGAATCTCCTGTTCTCCGTGACAAGCGGAGGGAAAAGGGGAAATCAAATCTGCTCTTGCATTCAGGTTCATTGACAACTGACTTGGATTAGCTAACAATGGTGAGGCACAGTTTTACATTTCGACTCTCACTCTTATCTCAGGAGACAGACAGCAAGGACCTCGACACCTTCCCACAGTAAGCCACACATGGGTGTGTAGTCAGCAGCCTCCCTGGCGCAGAGGACTTTGCTCTCTGTGTCTGTACACTGTTTCTGTTGTTTCATTTGTAAACAAAACTCATATCTCTATTTGGAAAAAAAAGCACCATTCCTTCTAAAGTCTTAGGCCTGCAGTAGAGGACTTTCAGAGTGCTGGAATCCTTCTAATTGCGCAAAGTAGACATAAGTCTACTGTAATGAAGAGAGTCGGGCTGGAGACAGCTCAGGGAATCCCACCAGCCTAGAAATGGCAGCTACTCTAAATGGTATGCCCTACAAACATATTCCTGCTTCAAATGGTTAGCTTGGGGTCTGGATGCAAACCTCAAGCTTATGGGGTATAAGAAGAAAGAGATTAAACTTTCTAAAATGGTTGTACAAACCTGAATTTATCCATCACATGGAGACCAGAAAGACTTGAAAATATTTATCCCCTGCCCCATTTTGTACTGATTAATATTTAGATAGTTTATAATAGAAGCTTTATATTTTTAACTGCTCCATTTTAACAGAAAAGGTTGCCAGGGGATCGCAAGCTCTTGAGGTCTCTGTGGGTTGGATGTACCTGTCATGTGGAGGCAGTGCCCTGCTGATTTTCAGCACAGTGAGAACACGTGGTATTTGACACTCCACCACCAGCAGTGTGCACACTTCCCCTCCTCTGACATTAGGGTCTTCCCACAGTCAAGAGAATCCCAACCCTCAAATCTCACTTTCATTCTGACCTTACCCTGCCAGGCAGCAAGTATTTTCACACCGGGAGCTTCCTTTAAACTGTACCTGAGTAGGAGGGAAATCAGAAAGGTTCCAAACCCTTTCCCACTCCTGTGTCCCCGTCATCAACCCCGACAACTCATCGCCATCCTGCTCTTTGTTTCAGATTGCAGCCAAGAGTATACGGACTCTACAGGCATAGACTTGCATGAGTTTCTGATCAACACTCTGAAGAACAATTCCAGGTAAATGGTGCCACAGGCCCCTTATCTGGGGACAGGGGGTTCAGATAGAATATTGTAAGGTGATTGATCAAAACACCTCTAAGAAATCAAGCATAATACACAAATGGCCTCCTCTGGTAGCTCCCCTGAGCTTTCTCTCCCAGTGGATGGCTGACTGTAATATTTACATAACTACCCATTGCATAAGTTAGAGTGTGCAGCTCTACTTCCCCAACCCCAAGGAAAGGAAAAAGAAGAGAAAGAAAATGATCAATATTGCATCAATCAATTATACCTCAGTGCAGGTACATATTCCTGGATAATCAATACTTCAGCTTTGCTTCATCCCAGTTTCTTTTGACTTGAAGTTTTTAGCAGTTGTATGTTTATTATTCAAAAATTTACATCATAATTATCATTAAAATGATACCATTTAACAGCACCAAATACTTAGAAAGTGAGATGAGAGCAAAATCCTAAATTCAAAATCATGGCGTGCAAGCCAAGGAGTTGACAGCATCTGAAGCTGAATCAGATACAGGTCTTCTCTTCTTCCCCTTGCATTTGATAAACTGTTTCGCCCTTTGGAGTCTGAAAAGTACATGAGACCTTTCCTTTGAACATTTATTTTTCAGGGACAGGATGATACTCTTGAAAATGGAGCAGGAAATGATTGATTTCATTGGTGACAGCAAGTATGTTCAATGGCGATGCTAGCTAATTTGATGACATGTCTTAGTTCAGTATCTGAGTTAATGAATCATGCCGGAGAGAGTTGTGGGTAGATAAAAACATCAGTTCACGAGAGTCTTGGTGTGCAAAATGGAGAGGGCACAGCATTTTGGAGTGGTCATTGCTTGGATCATGCGTGTCCCTGCCTGTTAACTTTGTGACAAAATGGCCATAAACAGAGGGACACTGATTAGCATGGAGGAGTCGTAATGAGAAGCGACCCTTTTCATTTTTATTATAGTTTTTTAATGGGCTCCAGCTGTCTGCAGTCAGTTATGCCTGCAAATAATTGTGCTGTGTTTGGTGTAAACTGGGTAATGAGACATCTCCAGATAGACATCTGCAATCTCTGCTATGTCATGTAGCTTGTCCTCTGCCTGCCTCTGTTGATAAGGTATCATGAACTAAACCAGACCACTTTTCAACAGACAAGACGAATGTGTGGCTGCGAAACAGCAAAGCCTAGCTCAGCCTGATCAATAAATCTGTGAAAGTAGAAATTTGTCTGTGAGAGAGGGCGTCCGGTGATGCCGGAATGAAAGGCGGCAAGAGTTTCTGGATAAGGGAGACAGCGGTGTGGAAATGCCTGTAAAACATGCTACAGACACGAAACGGAGACGCCAGTTTCATTCCCCCTGTAATCCCGTTCCAGCAACCACTATAAAAAGTTCCCCCAGATGTCATCGTATCAGAGGATGCTGGTCCATCGGGTGGCGGCCTACTTTGGACTGGATCACAACGTGGATCAAACTGGAAAATCTGTCATCATCAACAAGACGAGCAGCACCAGAATGTAAGTCCCATATTGGAAGTTTGCTTGGTGTTTTCTTTTTCCATCAGGGATTGGCTTATAAGAGCACAGCATGCATTTCAAAGTATGTAACATTTAATATGTGCAGCGCTGGTTATCTTTCTGCCCTTGCAGCGGTGGGGTGGCATAGATCAGTAGAAGACTGCATGAGAACCAGGGAAGTGTGTAGAGTCCAGGTAGTGAAGTGAACTCATTTCTGGTTTTGATTTTCTTCTTTCTGTTAGCATCCCATGATGATATACACAAAATGCTATGGAATTCTACTTCAAAAATAGCATTCAGACAAAAACAACAGGCATTGGGCTGGGAATATACCTCAGTGGTAGAGGATTTGAATTGCCACACACAAAGTTTATTAGATTCCCAGTACTGCAAATGGATAAAACCTAAGTAAGTAAGTAGATAAATAAACACTTCCCGCAAAGCCAGGCTTGGTGGTATCAGCCTGTGATCCCAGCACCCTGAAGAGGGAGCCAGGAAGGTCATGAGTTTGAGCAGAGCCCTATCTAGGCGTGATTTGGTCAAACAGAAATGGAGGGTGAGGGAGAGGAGAGAGAAGAGAGAGGAGAGGGAGGGCTGGGCAAAGCATAGGGTTTATAAAACTACAACACACAGAGACAGAGGGACACTTGCCCTTTTCTTTCCTCTTTTTCTGATGTGGAGACACACTCTGTTTGGCAAAAGCTCTGAATGGGAGATAAAACCTTGCTTCTAAACCCTGTCCTGCCTCCCAGGGGAGGGGGGGGGACAACCCAGTCTCCTGCATTGCTCCTCGTCACCTCGGTTTCTCCCCCTGCTCAAGGTTTGAGCTTGATAGATACCTAAGTGTTAGCCCCAAGTCCTTGGTTTTCCTCCAGACAATCACTGCCTTTCATCTCTGCATCGTTCTCCTGTCCCACTGAGTCATGGAGAACATAGCAATAGGAGATATCATTTGCCTTGACCCTTGCAACTGTCTCCTTTGCACCCATGTAGGTTTTGAATAGAGCTTAAGCTACTTCTTTAGCAAAAGGCGTGGCATCCTCAGAAAACAAAATGGTGAACCATCTTTTTTAAAAATAACTTTCTTCCTTAGAGTCATTTGGTGACCTGTGAGTCACATGGCCTTTGTGTCTGGATGTGAGGGCAGGACACTTTTGTGTTGAACCGTGCTCTCACAGTTGGTTAAACCATTCTTTATTTTCTGTTCACCACGGGGTAGGGCAAGCAGGGTGGCCTCAAGCCTCCTTATCTCTTCCAAGCTCTGCCTGATCTCAGCAGAGGCAGAGAGACAGTTGGGAGGAGGAGCCCAGAGTAAGGAGCTGAGACCAAGTGTGGCGATTATCTCGATTATCTCGGGGACACTGAGTGCTTAGCTGTTTTACCCTGAGTTTCAAATTGCTTATACATCCGTAGAACAGTTTGAAGTGGATAATGTTTAAGAGCCCTTGAAGCTTCAGAAATATTGGGTGCTGCACTTGCTTTTTACTGTGCTGGCAAAACACATCTCAAACTTTAGCAGCTTTGCCCTGCATCTGATTGTTGACACTGGTGCCTCCTGTTTTGACTGTCATGGGAAGCCAAGGCCACTTTTCTTTAAGCCACCACATCTCCGCTCTCCATCAGAGCTGATTTGGGTGTATTGATTATGTTTCTTCACTCCCCATTCTAGCTTTTCTTGTGGCTTGTGGGTATCATAACACAGGAACAGACTCACTGAGAGCAAGACAGAAATGGTTGACTTCCTCTTTTAATCAGTCCGTTGGATTTGACTCTGAGGCCACGGGAAATGTGGATTGGTGCATAGATGGAGCAGATTAAGCCTGATAGATTTGCAACTTGTAGATAATGGTTGCAGTGGTTTTACAGTTTTGTGGTCTTGGATATCAGTTCATGTTTATACACCGGTTGCTGGGGATATTGAGCTTATGTGACTATTCCTGAGAGATATTTAGCAAAGTTGCTTTTTTGTTTTTTTTTTTACTGTGGTAGCTCCACATACTGTCTACATTTAAATTTACATACAATTAAAATTTTAAAATTCAGTTTCTTTATCAGGTTAGTCACAATTCAGCTCCTTGCAGGCGCAGAGCACATCTAGAATGTCTCCAGGACTCCAGAAACTTTGGAATTCTTTTGCATCCTTGTGTTTCCATGATCCTCTAATGTCTTCCTTCTCCGACTACTGGAAATCTGACCACTAAACGCTTTCTCTTCCAGAGAAGCACTAGTCTTGGTCACCTTTAGGAAGTCTTACTGTGTGTGTGTGTGTGTGTGTGTGTGTGTGTGTGTGTGTGTGTGCGTGCATGTGCATGAGCATCTATCTATGTGTACCACATGAGTGCAGTTGCCATGGAGTCCAGAAACGGCACCAGATCTCTGTAGACCTAGAGTTACAGACAGTTGTGAGCTGCCCAATATGGGTTCTGGGAACTGAACCTGGCTCCACTGCAAAAGTAACATACCCTGTTAACCGCTAAGCTTCCAGCTTTGTTTTTTTTCCTGGGACATTGTTAAATAAACTGCACATGCTCCTAACCTTCAGGAGAGTGCACAGTGAGCGTGGCTAGAGAGCACCTCTTAAATGTTTAGTGACTACTTTTGATCGCACCAAAATATCCTATCTGATCACCCATCTTCCTTCCCACTGTCTATCATCCTTCCGTGAGTCAAGTCACACCTAGTTCCACTATAAACTGTGGAGTTTCTAGGCATGAGCTGGAGCATTAAACTCTCTGGCTCCATTCCAACCGCCATGTTTCTAACCCTCAGTCATTTAAGTGGCTCTTAAGGGGAAGGGTGCTAGTGGCTGAGCTTGAGGGGAAATGGCTACCTCTTCAGAAAAGGAACAAAAAGGAAAGAGGACGAAACAAATGCTCCTCCAAATAGTAGCACACTGCAATTTTCAAGACATGCATCATGTTAGCGGTGCTAGCAAAGACTGCTCTTTTATGAGAATGTGTGTGTGTGCTCTAGCTGCCTACTGGATTTGAAGGTAGAAATGGATCATCCTCTTCATAGCACTGAGCGGAAGATCTAGGTACCTTGATGGTTTCCATCACTATTTATTTGGGGTTTGGGGGAACCTTGGAAGAGTTGCCTCACCAGAGCAACTGATAGCCAATCAGAGTCAGGCTAATTTGACTGACATATTGTTGGATTGAAATATGTTAATTTGTAAAAGGGAGAGGAGAGAGCTGGGATGGCTCACAGTAAGAGCTGTGCTCAAGGAGTACTTTCCCAGTGTGTGCAGGTTTCTGTTGCTCCCATGCAAATCCCTGATAATATGCATTTTAATTGTTATTGTGGTTTAGGAGAACGGGTCCAAAATGCAAAATGTTTAGGTGGAGGATGGAAATGAACTAAAAGTTAAGGGAGAGAAACACTTTTCTTTCTTCTTTTCTTCATTCCTTCTTTTCTTCCTTCCTTCCTTCCTTTCTTTTTCTCCCTCCTTCCTTCCTTCCTTTCTTCTTTTTTGTTTTGTTTTGTTTTGTTTTTAGACAGGGTTTCTTTGTGTAGCCCTGGCTGTCCTAGAACTAGCTCTGTAGTCCAGGCTGACCTTGAACTCACAGAGATCTGGTTGCCTCACCCCCAAGTGCTGAGATTAAAGGCACACACCACCACCCACCCAGAGAAAAGCATTCTTGTTAGTTTGGTGCTTAGTTTTCTTCACTGACTCCTTATCGTTTTGTAAGGTGCTCCTGTAACAGATTGCCACCATGGTCTCAGCTGCAACAGAGTGTCAGCAGCTTCCTTCTGCCTTGGCTCTCTGGACAAGGAGTGGTTTAAGATGTTCCAGACAGTGGCTTGAGACTGCTAAATTCTTCACAGAAAGAAAACAGTTCTAGGGGAGATTGAGAGTACTTAGGTCATAAGGTACAATCCCTAAGTACCACATGTGAAGATGAATGGCATCTGTCTGCCGCCCTCTGTCCTATCCTCAGTGATCACCCGTTAACTCCCCCATGACGGAAAGACTTGATCTCAGGATAGACTCCCGAGTGAACTTAGAACTCCTACTTAGAACCTTGGCGCTTACTATATACTCACTGTACCCTACACTTTAATTCATGGCTTATGTTTATTATCACCTCTACTTCTCCAAGGAGCGCTCAGTTTGGGGTCTATAGAGAAAGAACAATTAGCAGGACTAAGGTCTAAACAGTGTGTACAATGTGATGATTATTTCAAGCCAAACCATCTCAACTATTGAGCCAAGCACTCAAGATGTGTTCCCGGATTAGATGGGGGATTTACAACCTTTTCATTCCCTTGTTGTCTGATAAGAAATAGGAACGAGAGCTGTTATTTTAAAGATATTTTTGAAGACTTCCTTGTTCTTAAAAGTGAACATCAGAATTTTTCTATAATTTGATAGTCCCTGCTATATTGTTCTGGTTTGCCACTACTAACATGTGTGGCTCATTGAAGGAGAACAACCATGGGGCATGTTTATCAATAATGTTAGTACAGAAGATGAATTTATTTACTGTTTTCTTACACCCCCCCCCCATAGTCTTAGATTCTCATCAGATGCATAGGAGCTTCAGCTCCATGGGAAACAAGAAAACAAGATGGAGAGAATTGGAGTCAAGTTGCTAGAAGTTTTGTATTAATACTTTCAATGCATTTGAGATGCCCAGGGAACATATGGCTTTGCAGTAAATAAACTGTGTTTTCAATGCCCTGGAGCAGTAGACAAAAACGAAGGGGAATCAGCAGTCGAGTAAATGCAGGGAAGAGCGACTCCATCTATTGGATCTAAACAAGTTTATGCTAATACTCTTCATTTATTGTGCAGTGACAAAGAGCCGAGCTTTCTGCAGAGATGGTAACATCTAGTCCTTATAACCATCTATGAAAAGACTATGTTAAAGGTCACACTAGTGCCTAGAGGGGAGAGGAAGTCCACTGTGAGGGAGAGAAGGAGTCACCCAAGGTTTCGCTTTAACCACTGCCAACAGGAGTCCAACTCTGACCTCCAGGCTGAGGACTTTGTAATG